ATCTCGCCCGATCCCTCGGCTACACCCAATGCCATGGTCTGCGAGCTCGTCTCGCCCGATCCCTAAACTGCCTTGGCAACGCATGATGGGTCCGCGACTCCATCTCGCCCGATCCCTCGGCTGCGCCCGACGCTAGGGTCTACGAGCTCATCTCGCCCGATCCATAAACTGCCTCAACTGCGCACGACGGGCTCACGAGTCCGTCTCGCATGCACACGCCCGCTGACAAAAACCCCCCAGGCGATACTACCTAAATTGCCCAGCGGCTCGGGGCTACACCATGCGAAGCGCTTTCGTGCGCACCACATCAAACAAACAAAAATTCCTCGTTGACTAAGCGAAGTACCCCAGACGATTCTACCCGAATCACCCGGGGGCTCGGGGTCTACAACCGTGGGTGCGCTCACGCGCACCCGCCGTCAAAACAAAAATCCCCTAGATGATTCTACCTGAATCGTCCGGAGGCTCGGGGGCTCCTGTCGGGTTCATAAACCTAGGGTCCCTCATGGACCAGCTTCCCAGCAAAGGCTTGGCCCAGCAGACAATGTCAAGAATAAATGCGCAACTCTTGGGCCGGCCCAAAAACTTAACGATAGGCCAGAATGGCGCTCGCTCGCCTTCGACTCTGGCCCGCCTCTCCGACCGAAAGGCCTCGCTTCTGACTCTAGCCCGCCTCTTCGACCGAAAGGCCTGGCCAAGGAGGAACGACGCCCGCTTCTGACTCCGACCCGCATCTTCGATCGGGGATACATGAACCTCTGCTTATAGCTCGTCTCCGACTGGCACAGTCGGAGCCGACTAGGACCAACCGACCGGGGACACCCGCTCGGTGAGGACTAGGAAGCGGGCGGAGCAAGTAAGACAGGACACTCAAGTCAAATCGCAAAACCGAGGACCGTACCCTGTACATCTGCAGGACAGTACCGACAGGGCATGTCATAAGAGTGCCCTGCAAACCTTCTAGGCTTGTCAGAACCCAAGCAGTATTGTGGGCGCCGAAGTTTTACCCTACAGTGTTATGGGAGCCATCAATTCCCATATCAGACGAACACGGTAAGACTCCCCACATGCCTCTGGGCATCAACAGTGTTGTGGGCGCCGTCATTTACTATACATAGTGAAGACGGTAAAAACCTCCCACATGCATCTGGCAACAACAGTGTTGTGGGCGCCTACAATCATCTTGTACCCGACGGCGTGAGCAACAAGACTTACCGGCATACGTACACTCTCCCTCTCTCACTTATAACACTATCCCCTTCATCTATAAAAGGGGATGCGCTCTCTCCCAGTAGGAGAGGATCAACTCTCCAACAACTGAAACACACTCCAACGATCCGAACAACCAAGGATTCCAACAGAGCACATGCTCTAATACTTAGCACATGCAGGAGCTCCCGTCTCTCTTGTCCCTTCGGTCCAGAGTCCGACCGGACCTCTTGCACCCCCCATCTTACTCCCTTCCGTTTGTAACCCCAATTTGAAACTTTGAGACACAGGCTCGTGGAATAAAGTCACCGACCGACTCAAAGCGGATATAGGGCACGTTGTTCTAACCAAGATAAACCACTCGTGTCATTGAGTGCTAGGCCACATTCGATCACAACGTATGGCAAAACTACAAATATTTATGTGTTGGTCACTTTACGCACCGACAACAAGGTTGATATGTGCCCTTATGTGTTGAGTTGTGATGAGTGATTGTCAAGATGACCGGCTTTGATTTAGTTTGAGACTAACCCCCTAGCGTGAGTGTGTGGGCAACATGTCTCTTAGTTGTGTTGGTGTGCACGTGTGGAGCACAGAAACGGTCGACCAGCCCTGCTAATGGGGCTAAACCCGCCCCAAACCCGTCCCAACCCGCAACTTATGAGAGAGCTTTCCTAACCCAACCCTTCCCAAACAATCAACTCCTCAACCCAACCCAACCCAACCCAACCCGCCGCTTAACTCAAGCAACCCGCAACTACGAAGCTAAGCGTCCTCATCCGCTTTAATGTGCCATGGCCCTTGGGAGCTGGGCCGTGCGGCGACGACATCTTCCGTGGCCGTGCGTGCGTACACCCTCTGGAGCTGGGCCCGCACGGCGGCTCGTGGAGCAACAAGACGCGGGAGAAGCAGCTGCGGGTTGGGAGCTTCGGTCTGAAGGGAGATGAGGCCGCCCGGTGATGGAGTAAGTAAGTTACAGTGCAAGTCAACCCGTCCCAACCCGCCCCAACCCGCTCTTGCAGTACCCCCAACCCGCCCCAACCCATGAGATGCCATGACCCATTTACACCCGTCCAAACAACCCCCAAATCAAAACCCGCCCCATAATACCCATTTCAACCCGACCCATTAGCAGGGGCTACTGATTACAGAACATGGAAAAGAATTATAAAGATTTATGACATTAAATAGTTGTACTATAAAAATATAATTAATGAAGAATCTAATGATATTTATTTGGTATCATAAATGTTATTATTTTATTATATGACGTTGGTCAACCTTAAGATGCTTTAACTCTCAAGAAAGTTTAAATGACTTATAATTTGGAACAGAGAGAATATACTATTAGCATTTAGTTAAAGTTAGAAAAATTATAATACTTTTTAATCACAGTACGGACACATACGCTTATATAATACATGTATGTACACTGATCGACTAATATGAACTAGGTGAACAGTAGAGGTTCACTATATTAATAAACTTAAATAGCTAAGCTACAATTTGTTCACAGAAAAATTGTTATATTATTATGCAAAAATAAGGTGAGAACATTTGACTAACTCAGATTTCGTACGTCCTGTACTTATGAACAAATTAAATTGCGCCGACTAGAATACCAAAGTTTCAGTCCAGCAAAACCATAGACTTGAGCGCGGCACCGGCACGCCAGCAAATACGCATGTGGGCAGCTAAAAAGTCCTAGTACGTAGGAGTACGGCAGCTACTAACCATAACTCCTAAAGAAGACAATTAGCTAGACGTACGATTACAGTAGTTTTGAAAAGATGGGCTCTAAACGTACACTTTGTTGAACCAGCTCTTAACAATGCAGGTTTCATACGGACCAGGTGCCATCACCACCTGGTAAAAACTAACAAGTCAACGCCCAGGTCGCCTCGATCTGTCGTCACCTATACTGCACTTGCAATGTGCGACTAGCTTCCTGCTGGGTTCCGATTCTTCAACGGTGGGCGCCTTGCGGGTCAAGATTACGTTACTGATTACTAGTAACGGTAAAGCATGCATGGAAGCTGTGAAAGTTTATATACAACTATGCGCTCCGAGCAAAGATATATCAAATAAGCACAGCTTTAACCATTGGACCTGTTCAGCAGCCATTTTTTCGGTGGCAGCAGCCGCTCACATGTTAGAGCAAGTACAATAAAGTGTAAGTGAGTTGTTATGCTGAAGTGGAGGAGAGAGAGAGCAGAAGCGCGCCGTAAGTTTTCAGCTGACTTATACGTAAGAACCAATAAACTTTATGAGAGACAGGTAAGTCATGTATTAACAGTGAAGAGCAAATTACTATATGGGTTGGCTGAGAGATGGGCTACAAAGATCCATACAGCAAGCAGCAGGTTATATTATTAGCCTTGCTCTTAGTGTGGCAACGCTAGTAGCTGCTACAGCAAACATAGACATTACAATGTTTTTACAACTGTAACACATGGGAAAAGTATGTTACTATAAAGCGATTCAATTTTCATTAGAAATATGCTCCTTTTGTTTTCAGAAAATTAACATGTAAAAAGTAATTTGTAAATAAAAGAGAAAAGATTTAACCCTTGGGACAACCCAAACTAGCACTGATTTGAAATTGAAGGAAGTTGTTATAGAAAGCCTGTCAGGGCAAAGTTGTTTCCTCACTCGTAAATTTAAAACATCTTTTAAAAAACCAGCTCTTTAAATTAACGCCTCTAAAATTGATGTAAAAACATAGAAAGATTAAGTGCTACTTTAAGAAAGTTCCATAATATGCCAAATCTAGTGGAGGGTTTTATTCTCATTAAGACGCCGTTCGGTTAGGCGTTCCCAGCCACTCTAGGTCAGGATCATTTCTAAGCCAGTACAAATTATAGAACAGTTCCAAGCCAGGAACAATTCCAGGCCATTCCAAGCTACAAAGGAACAAAGCCTAAATGAGGTGATATATACGCAACTAATGACATGACACTAGACTTATGAGAGAGAAGAGGGAGGGATTTGATCTAGCTAGATGCAATTGGTTGTACACTCTTTGTAAGATATGGAAACTATTCCACACTAACATTGGAAGAAAAATTTTCATTTCATCTAACAATCCTCCAATCCCATGTCACACATTTAATGCTATATGACCGGAATATAAAACAATTGAATTGAAAGTATGCATTTGAAGATGTGATTTTCTTCATCAACATAAAACCACTCTCGATGATGTGGCAATGGCATCGTGTTGAAAACAACGAACAAAACGAAACTTCTTTTTACGGTTGACCAGTAGTTCTATTCGCTTACCATTGGCTTTATGAAAATAAAGTCATTCTTAAATAAATACATGGATGACCTAAGCACAACATACCCCACAGTACTCCCACACATCCTTATGTACCGTACCGCAGCTGTACATTACCATCTCTCTCTCTCCTTTTGACCAGCCGTCATAAAAAATTGATGTTGCGACCATTAATTAATAATTAGGTTTCCTCCAACAATTAACCAATAAATTTGATCAGAATTCATCAGAAAATTTGTCAAGTTCCCAAGATACAATACGAAGATGCCACAAAGATAGGAAAAAAGAGAGCACAAGTTGCACGCGCTGTCACGTACCATAGTTGGGCTATAAAAGGCGTCCCAAGGCGACATCCATGAGCAGCTGTGAAGCCAACAAATCAGCTACAGCCTACAGGGTGCTGCTTGAGGGACGGTGCAGTGCGGAGTGGGTTATCCTTTCCGCCGTACAAAGGTACCTGTACTGCCCTTGACTACTACAGTCTACAGAGGAAGCCGCCGGCGACAGAAAGATGGCACAAGCCGGTGCCGGAGGTGGCCTGGAGATGGTGCCCCACAGCGGCGACCTGGAGCTGGAGCTGCCGGCGGTGAACTGGCTACGGCAGGACTCGCTGTACCGCGACGCCACGAGGCCAGCCCACGCCGCCCATCATGGACGGCAGGAGAGCTGGGTTCGGACGCTACGGCTGGCATTCCAGTGCGTGGGGATCATGTACGCCGACCTCGGCGCGTCGCCGCTCTACGTCTACGCCAACACCTTCAAGTATGGCGTCAAGCATGAGGACGACGTCCTCGGAGTACTGTCCATCATCATCTACAGCTTCATCCTCTTCACCATGATCAAGATCGTCTTCATCGCGCTCTACGCCAACGACGAGGGTGACGGTGCGGTCGACGATGCTACCTAGCTACTGAATTTAATTCACCATGATCTTTCTTGTCATGAGATGAGTTGCAAAATCGACACGGAGCTAACAAGGTGCACGTACATACGTTATTTGCTCGGTTTTCGTCAGGTGGAACGTTTGCTCTACTCGTTGATCTCGCGGTACGCCAAGATCTGCCTGATCCCAAATCAACAGGACGAGGACGAGCTCGTGCTAAGATACAAGAATCAAGCAAAGCCGTCAGCGACGCGAAGGAGGGCTCAGTGGATGAAGAACCTCCTTGAGACGAGCAAGGCAACAAAGGTTCTGCTTTTCTCCCTTACCATCCTTGCGACTGCGCTGGCCATCAGCGACTGCATGCTAAACCCTCCAATCTCTGGTACGTACATATATAACATCCACTACCGGAGACTGTGTAGTCACCGAGTGCCCCGACAATTACCGAGTGTCAAAAGTCGGGGCACTCGGAAAAAAGTGATTACCGAGTGCCAACACTCGGAAAACATAAACACCCGGTAGTCAACCGCTTTACCGAGTCAGCACACTCGGTATACTCAGACACTCGGTAAAACCACAAGTTTACCGAAGGGGTGCACTCGGTAAAAACGGTCACTCGGTATTGACGTGCCACGTCACCTAGGATAGCAACCGTGCCCAAACGGCGTCAAGGCATGACATGTTTACCGAGTGTTATGATCATACACTCGGCAAACATGAAATTTTTACCGAGTGTTGGGCCAATACACTCGGTAAACACTATCTTTTACCGAGTGTATTTTCCCAACACTCGGTAAAATTCAACCAAATTTCTTGTTTTTCCCTTCATTCTTTTTCCTCTATCCACATATGATATTTAGTACTCCATTCCAAAATATGGTGTTTATTTCGATTTATTTACTATATTTCACAAAATTTTCATTCTTTATGAAAATTAGGAACATATCGTGTGAATTTAATTGTAATAATTAAAATCGAACTCGATAAATCACAAGATTGGAAGAATTAACATTGAAGCATACATCTATGTTATAGAAAAAATTTCATAACGTTTTGGAAGTATTTTTACATTAAATCATTTGCCCGAACACGGTACATCTCCCAAAGGGACGCTAAACATTCAAAATGACGAGTAGGATTTCTATTAAGAGTGAAATTCAACATTATGATTTGAACTTGGAATTTTTAGATAGTAAATAGATGACATGAAATAGTTCATGTGAAAGTTTGGTGAATTTTAGGATTAAATTGGCATTTTTCTTTTTTGTTTTGCATGAAATAATGGATACTTTTACCGAGTGTGACCTCAAACACTCGGTAAAGGTTAGCCACGGCCCACCTGCCTGCCATGCTTATGTTTTACCGAGTCTTAGAGATCGGGCACTTTCAGTAAACATGTACCAGTGGTTGCATGGTGCTTGAGTTTACCGAGTGCCGTACATCTAGGCACTTTCGGTAAATGTAACGATTGAACAAGCCGCTTTCTCCCTCAAATCAGGCGTAAACTCCTAAATTATAGGGCCCACATGCACTGTCCATCGTCCAACGACCTTTGACATCTATGCATATGTTCCCGATAACTTAAGAAGATCGCCGGGTGTCCTCGGAGAACCCCGAATCATCCACGATTTCCGGCGGGATCACATTACTGAGTCATTGTAGTATTACAACAGTTTATTCAAATAGATACATCGAGTAAAAATATAGCGGAAGTCTTACAATAACTTAGTTTACAAAACATTTATTTCAAACCTTACAAACTAAGTTCGATTATTAATACAAACCAAAGTAGTGGAGTGGCATTATAATATATTACAAAACACACAATTTAAGTTTGCCTACCCCAAAGGCCACACATTTACTTAACGTCATCGCACAGAACAACAGTCATGCAGCACGATCCAAAACAGATCTGCACATGAGCCTCACCTGCAACAAGGGTCAACGAACCCTGAGTACGAAAGTACTCAACAAGACTTAACCGAAATAAAAACTGATAAGACTCAGGAATGCAGGCTCAGGGATTCAAGGTATGGCTTTAGCAATAATCAAAGTTCTTTTGCGTAAAAGCACTTTAACAAAATTCTTTGTATCAATATTTAAAATCTCATAAGATCATATACAAAGCTGACACGATCCGTATTGAGATCATGAAACTTCATATCCAACACTTTCTCGAACCATTCTCAAGTTCCAGTTATTAATACTACGATGATGAACAGAGAAGTGAGTCTCCATAACCGAGGAGCAACGACGATTCGAACCGATTATAAACCCAGCTGGGAATTTCAGACCACACGACATATGCAGGTCCCTGACCTACATATACCAACCTACCCTCAGATCCTCTAAAACAAGAACGGGTCCGCGCCACCCGAGAATACAGTACTCCACACTCCAGCCCATTGCCACGTGGGTACACGCTATTCCCGCCATCTCTCCACTCCCAGTGCGCGAGTAGCCATTCTCGTAATAGAATAGCCAAGTTAAGGCTTACCGGAGTATGTGGTTAGTACTACAAAGTCTCACCGCACGCAGTTCACCAACGGTACGGACCTTAATCGACACAGGCGGAAAGAACCTGCTCACAAGACATTACCAGGTCTTGTGGCTCACACACACCGAGTCCGCCCGGTCTAGATTTATTACTCCACATTACCATATCACATGATAACATAAGTAACCAAAGTTCCATTTAAAACTCGCAGGTGACAGGTAATCACCCAACTTTGATTGGTCTAAGCAGAGCTAAGCATAACTAGGCATATACGATTTTAAACGGGTAACAAGGTAGATATGGAACAACAAGGTTGATAATGCAACAATTAGGTTTCCACTTGACTTCTAATCACTTAATGCAGTATATGAAAGCAAAAGCGAAATCAATTTGTAAAACACAAGGTAGGGTTTAAATGCATCCGGGGCTTGCCTTCGATCCGACACAAGTCAGTTCAGTTAGCTTTCATCATCTTGGTGACATCTCCGGTCCTAGTACTTGCTTAGTCCTTCCATCTTCGGGATAAATCCACCAAACCCAAACTTCGAGCTCAGCTTCACATCACATCCTTCACGTGGTTCATCTAGCGTATCTAAATGAGATGCAAGATGCATGTATATGAATGTGATGAATGATAACACAAGATACATCACATAAGCATTCAAGACAAACACAAGATTATGCAAAACATAGACACCAATAGCTATTTAACTAACATCATACAACTAACTACAGAGAGCAAGCACATCAAGCATGACACCAGTTTAACAAGGTCACAAGTATCATAACTTGACCATCAACAAGGGCATAAACCACACTTAGCAACACATGGAGTAAACAACCACAACTAGCATATGTCTATTTCGGGACTGGAAACAATAGCTTCATGTTTGGATCATAACTAGAGTTCTACAAATCCAAAAGCCATGCAACAAGACATTCTGGAAAGCTTATAAAATCTTCTACAATTCATCTTTAATCATCTTAGCATGATTCTCAAGTTAACTAAGTCAAATATACCCATTTACCGAAACTGGTCCCCGAATGACAGAGAGCAGCCATTTCTGAAACCCAACTTTAAACAGGCATAACTCACAAACCACAAGGCCAAATACCACCAAATTTTAACAGCAGCTAGATACATAAATTATCTACAACTTTGTTATTAACAAGTTTCTCGAAAAACATCATTATCATGAGGTAATCCAAACAGTCCCAAAAACTGTCCCGAAACAACAATTGCAAGAAAATAATTATTAACTTATGTTGCAAAACACATAATTGGGCAAAACCAACTTTACCAACATTTCACACATGACTAAAGAACACCAGAAAGCATGGTGCTCACCTCTAAATAAATTTTCTCTTAAGCATTTCTTAATTTATTTAGACATCAAGGTGTATTTATGAACATATACCAAAAATGCACAATAACTTCTACAAAAATTACAGTAGCTCACATATCCTCTCAATAGTCTACTGTACAAATTTCATACCATTTGCATAAGTATAGCTGCCTCTATGAAAAGATAATTTGCTATTGCAAGAAATCATGTGAGAGCGAGATAAACCAAAAACTCACTCATACTTCATCCAATACTCATGAAATTTTTACCACACATCAACTATCACATGAGTAGCATGCCACAAAATTTCACTTCATTTGGAGCCCTAGATATTCAGTTATGAAAATAACAAATTCAACTAGCATTAAAACCCTACTGCACAAATCTATTTTTGCAGCTAAAACTTTAAACTAAAACATGTCATACTATAGATCTACTGCATAGACAATTTCACAAGGATTCCAAAAAGTCCTCATTTGCTATGTTACGAATTTCCTATGAATTACTATGAATTTTCAAAGTTCCAGCCGATTTCAAAGCAAACAGGTCCAAAAGGCACTATTCACATGAGTCTACTACGGTTCACGTAAAAGCCCCTCACAAATCTCGAATTTGAAGACGAAGTCCCTGGTCGCGATTTTCAGAAATGAGAGAGGACGGGAGAGACGCGATTTCCGGCGGCCGATGCTCGTGGCGGCAATTGAAGGGGTGGTCGAGCGGCGGGTGGCGAGGCGAGCTCGAGGATGACCGCAGCTCGGCCCGAGGTGGCCCGTGATGACCTGGCCACGCGAGCCCGCGGCTCGGCGGTGGAGCAGCACGGCGGCAGGGAGCCTCAACGTGCCCTGTTGATAAGACGAAAGCAACCGACTTGCTTACGAGCATCACGGCACAAAGGTAAGCGCAAAACAAGAGAGAGATGGCGAGAGCGCCGGAATAGGCCGCCCACAATACGGAGAAAGCGAGCTCGACAGCCATGACGACTGACGGCCGCGAGGAAAAAGACGGCTCATCGATGACTTCGATGAAATTGGACGGCGGCGGGAGCGAGTCAAAGTGCTGCGCATGGATGTGGCGAAGCTTTCGGTACGCTCAAATTGGCGAGGATGAGCGATGGAGGTGGTGTTCACCGGCAAGAATGGACGACGGCGGCGACGGCGA